CTGTAGCAGTTGGCAAGGGGTCGTCCTACTGCCTGCTGCCCTGCTGCGCACGTTGCCAACAGGATTACATTGCAACAGCACAGTGTAGCAGGAGTGACGCGACGCCGGCTTCGACAGCTGGACACTTTCCTGGATGACATGTATTAAATGAGGGTGGGAACCGGCACACTTGTAGGGTAAGAAAGGCTTTTCTACTACCGAAGCTCACGGAAATTAAAAGGAAAATGTCCACTTTGTATTGGATTTTGGGTTTTCCAACTTTTCTGTCCTCTAGGAGCAAAGTGTAAGAGAAAAAACAGATCATTGAAGGAGCAAATCTAAACGACGCTCAGAAGTAAATGAGAGAAGTAGATTCGATGCCCATAATAAGGATAGGGCAGCGCTATAATATCAAGAATGGTCAGATCTACAATATCAATGAGGAAACAGTTCCGAGCTGTATACAGGAAAAACCAAATTTGTCTGACGGCTTGAGTCCCATTTCTACGAAAGAGAAGTGCGAGAAGTGTGTATCAACACATGTTAGAAAGAGATAGATGTCGGCTGAAGAGCGACGGTCATCACCACATTGCCTAGCGACGGAGACGCAGGAGGTCGTGCGATCTGCCGTGTTGCCCATATGTTAAGAAAATGTTCGCACAGGCTTCTACAATACGTTAGGTTGCTAAGAAGGATGTCTCTTCAAACATTTAATATAATGTTTTGTTTTCTTTTTGATTATAATTATTTATTTCAATTCTGATGCGACTTACTGATTTAATTTATGTTAGAATCATCTTTGATTTCCACCGATGGTGATCAAAAATCAACTCATCCTGAGTTATTGTTACTTTTTGTAACAGTAAGTGGTCGGAAAATGTAACAAATACTGTTACGCAATACAAATTATCACTGCCCGCGTGTACATAGGTGGAAGAAACGTTGCCTTGGGGTTTACTAGATATGATGTTGCCAAGCGAACCAATGATACCAATGTTGCAGAATCTGTGGTGAGCCTGACCTTTTATTTCGACCTAAAATAGAGCGCCATTAGAATTGGCGTAAACAGATTCGATACAACTTGCAATTCAAAAATGTCGCTCAAAATAGAACCATTATTTGGGAGTAGAGAATAAACTAACGCATATTTTCGAAATGCATTTTAATTCAAGGAATTGGTGTAACATATTTTCAACGCGGTAGTGAGCTTCGCTATCCAGCCGGCTTCTATCTTTTTCTAAGATATGTGCCTATAAACACTTCTCTTTCGTACACAATGAACTCAAGCCGTCAGACATATTTGCTTCTCAGTGTATATACGAAGTTTACAGAATTGGGTCCATTTGTCCCGACTTACGGTAATTTAAAAACAGTATTATCGGCTATCAATTTTGTCTACTTTAGCGTCATTTTCTATCGGTGGTTAACTTTTAAGCTAGGTAACTATAATTTGGATGTTAATAACCAGTTGCCTGTGAACTTGTTTTTCAAGTTCTGATTTGCAATCCACAAACTGTTTGGCGTCAGCTCAGCTTTTATGCCTAAATAATCGTGTTCTATGCAGTTTGCAATATTCAGTATTTGTGTCTAGTGTCCTCCATGACAACTTATGTCACTATCAAGGACATTAGGTTAGACAACGTGGTATGAGTAAAACTTCATAGCTATCTCATACATGGTGCTCTGGTTGTATTTAACTACAGCTTCTGGATAAACGTGACATTGAAAACCGTTCGTTGAGAGTTAACTATTGGTTTGCAGTTAACCTATTATTGGTAGAGTAACGTTAGCTAGCAATTTAAAAGAATATGCAGGATAGTGCGTCAAAGTGAACAAGCAGGTGTAACGTGCCAAAATCACCTAACCTTTTTTTACTATTCTGATCATCAACCAGTAATTGAATTTCTCTTTTTTAATAGTAGCGTTCCCATTTCAATGATTTTCTTTGGCAAATTTCATAGTTTATTGATTGTATAATTTCACACGTATTATATGTTTCTTTCTCAGCAATTCCAGCAATTCAGCATTGTATTGAAATCTTTTGGACACTAATGTTATAGTATTTTATTAACGACTATCTCAGAAATTTCCTCATGAAATATCGTTGGTCCCTCGTAGAGTTGGTTCTGCCCATTGACAATTAGCGCCACTCTGTGGTTTCTGTACGTACTAGCCTGTGTAAGAAAATTTGGTTTCCTATCGAGATACCTTCTTTACCTATCAAGATGACGTCTTTACCGGTTGTTCTCCCTTCCTTTTGATTTCCCATCGATCATACCTTCTTCAACGCCAGTCATTTTAATCTTCTTTTACAAAGTTAGATGTTCTGCATCATTTTACTACTACTACTATTTCTTGGTTATAAGTATATCTAAGAATTTTAATATTTTGTTTTAATTTTGCGATACCAAAGTTCTCATTCGCCATATATTTGACTATGTCTTCGTAGGCGGTGGATCTCATTGACCTATTCCTAAAGCTGGGGCCGCTAATTTTCTATATACACTCATATTCTTTGTATACTTCCACTAACTTCATGGTTTCACTTTCCGTCCACTTGATTTTATTTCGTATGCTTAACCAAAATTTTCAACTTAAAATGGCCGAAAAGCAGCACAAAAATACTTTACTCTACTAAAAAAATCTAGTGTCTGTTTACATTGGTATAGTAAACAAACGAACCGGTAGAGTAGAGTAAAATTGTCTAAGAGGGGGTAGGAGAGTGACTCTACTGTTACTAGCACGATCTGTTTACATTAGCCTAGTAGCGGAATATTAAGTACTCTACCACCGAACTCTACTACTGACTCTACATGTGTAAACTAGGCTTAAGTATCATTGGTTTTGGGGGCTGGGTAGATGAGAGGTCAGCACGATGAGCTACTAATCGATCGACGAAGGCTAACGGGTTTGGATCCCACCTCGGAAGTTAATTTTGAGCCATGGATGATGTGTGGTGTGTCGTCTTCATAGCGCACCAGATCGGTGCAAGATCAACATTGGTATATAGCATCGCTGTAGCTGGTTTATTCAACAATCAGATACTAGTAGACGGCTTGTGTACAGTGTTGATACTAGATGATCGGCAAAAAGGTTTAAAGGTGGGTAAGTGTCAAGGCTTTGCCTCCCCACCGCTAAACTAAATCATTAGTTACATTAGTTCCAGCAGCTTGAGGAATTTGACAGGATCTCCAGCAAATTATCATTGTCAATTCGTCCAGAAGAAAATAAGCAGCTGAATTAAATAGTATGTCATTCAGTGCCTTGCTTTGCTCACTAACAATTGAACGTTATCATAAATCCAAGATGTGATACTACAGCTACGACCACCAGATACACAGTTTTACCACTCACTAATACTCTATGCATGTTTCCCTATGTTAGCATCTTACAAAAAAAATCATATAAGCTCACTCCACTTCAGATGCATTTTTTACCGAAACTCATTTTAATCAACCTCAGCTAAGTGAGATTAGTCCTCACTTACAGCTTTTAAGTTAAGCTTACCTTTAATTTGGTGCAAAATTCACCCACTTCAGATATTCAGTCTTGAGTGTTGCTCCATGATAAACTACAAAAAAAGTCTTTGCTTTAAGTTTTATTCTGACCACGGTTAGCTCAGCTGTTCTCCTTGAATTCGGTGAGCCAGTGATTGGATGATTTGACAACCTCATCTCTGTTGGGACTGTCTCACCTCACTTGCAAAGCGGGAGTAACAAGTCTCAGTCTGAACAGATGGATTCTATTCTGCATGACACGCGTGTTAAATAATGAAGGTGGGAATCAGCACAACCGTAGCGAAAGAAAAGTTTTTCTACTACCAAGCCTACTCAGAGGAACGCCGGAGTTTTAAAGTAGTCCCCAGAAATCTTTTGGTAATTCAATTCAATGATTTACTCCATATAATACAGATAACCAATTTGCTTATAGCCTACACTACTACTTTAATATAGTCAGGGGTGTGCCCCAAGTGAGCCATTAATAGAAGACGCCAACAAAGTATTCTTAGCAACCATTTAACAAATGTAAACAAATTTCATGAAAAAAACGTGTCCAGGAAAAGTTGCTGAAAATTATATTCCGCTCTCGAAAATAGCAACTAGGGAGCGTATTCTGGCTTAAAAAGTAGAAGTGTCATTGTTGTCATTTCAGAATACGTAATTTTACTTTTGAGTGAGTTGCCATCATTTTGCGAGTGAAGTGAGACTGTCCAAACGAAGATGAGACTGTCATGCCTCTTGTGACTCACTTCAGAGTTGATTCAACCCTGATCAAAACGTATCATCAAAAAGGAAGTTTTTTAATGTATCACGGAGCTCCATTCAAGACTAAGCATCTTTGCAGTTTGCTGGATTGAAAATTGAAGGAGCTAATGTTTCACACTATAAGAGTTGATACAAGATATACTGCTTTTAAGAGGAACCATTGCATCTTATGAAAGCCTCTCTAATTCAGGGTCATATTCGTCCTGACTGAGAAAGCCTTCCGGTGTGCGATGACGGAGATTAGAGTATCCTTTTAAGGTTAAGTGAGCTAATATCCGCTGGAAGTTTTGAGCTATTGCTGGAAAGAGGAGTTTCGCGGAAGTTGGCGGGAGGAGTTTTGCGGTCTTTTAACGTCTCCAGAGGAGTTGCCGCCTGCAGAAGTTTCGAAACTTTATACGATGATTTATGTGTACGCTTGTTCTGGGTTGATTTATATGGGAAATCCCCTCTTGGGAGGTATTTGTTAAATAAACGAGCATCATCGACCACTTGAATTACATGAAATTAATTTATATCGCTAACTTGAATCAGTTCTTCAAGTAGATAGTCGCTAAGTTTCGCCTTTATCACACTCACAGTACTGTTGTTCAAAAAAGTAGTCTTGGAAGTCGCAAGCGATAAAACTGAGACGCTGGATAAAGTTGCATTTTTAGTAAAAAATAATGTCCTATACACTTTTTAAATCGAAATCGACTGGTTACTCCGTTATTATATAAGATTTACCCAAATTAATAAATATTTAAAAATTGAAGTTACCAGGTACTACTGGATATCTTGCCCAAAAAGACACTTGACTTTAACAGCCTGTAAATCACTGATCTTTTGAGCAGCAATCTTTGCAAAATGAAGTTCATACTATCAAGGTTCTTGGCAGTGATGTCCAATCTTGCTCGCACTTGTGTGGAGATCAAACTTTCAAAAGTAGAAGGGAATTAGACGTAACCCTATGTTTCACATCATCACATTTTGACGTCTATTGACGTGAACATCTGATCACAATTGACATCTACTACTCATCTATTCGTCATTATTCGTCAGAGCGGTTCCGGTTTACCTTTGCTCTTAGTTAAAAGTCTCGTCGGTCTGTTAGTCTATGAGGTCTGGCTGCATTTTTAAGGGCAAAAGGGAAAGAATGAAAGGAAGGAAGGAAGAAATGAGCAAAGAAAAGAAGTAAATCATTTGAAATAGCTCAAGAATTATTGCTTTGACTACTCGAATTATTTTGTAACTCCAAAAAATAATTTTGATCGGTTTTGTATATTGAAATAATTTTGGCTGGTCTGAATTTACAAATTAATTTTGATCACAGTGCGAGGCGCGGCCCGGAATGTTTGCGAACTTGCTCGACTGTGTAGTCTACTAAATCACGCAACAGAGGGTTGCTGTGCGATTCCGCTTGATTGCAGTTGACATCTTTGGCTGTTTATAGCCTTAGACGTGATCTGCAGCCTCAATATCGCCACCTACCTCTAGCTTTCCAGATTACTCCCCATTACATATACCGTGTATTCCAAAATTCAACTTGTTGATTGTGGTGACATCACAAGCATTAGGCTTAGGTTTATGATACATTTCCGTGATATATACCGAACCTATAAGAGATATATTTTGGAATTTTAGCTTGTGATTTTGGTGTTTCTGCTGAGCTGTATAAAAAGAGCCAATCTTGCTAGTTTGTGTTTGCTAGCTATCACATTCAGATCTTAGAAATAAACGTAATCAAGTAAAGTCTTGTTAAATATCAATATAATATTTATTTTATCTTCTACAGAAAGAATTTCGTTTTTGCCTCCGGAAAGTTTTCGTTATATACCTGTTCCGCAAATTGGGACAAGGCAGCATCGCCTACAAAATACACATTTATAGTATCCCCATGATAGCTGGATATATCGCTCCAGTAGAACGCAAAACAGATCATTTTGGATTGTGTTTCTGTCAAATTTGCCAATCTACCATAATGGTTACCATTCCATCGCTATCAAATGTGTGATGTAATGGTTGATAGAGCGATGAGGCTTCTGATTAATTTTCCAGCAGTTTATTCACCTTGATTCACAAAGATGAATTTACGAACTCATTTTTTGTCAGTTTGGTGGAATAATTGCTCACCACGTTAGATTATTGAACACAGGGGTAATCTGTAAATGCAAAATACAAAATGTACTATTTCTCAAAACAGTTAATACTTTGTGTATTTTAACACTTCTATGTTCACCTTTTCCTAAGCTTTAATTTGACATATGATTTATGATGTCGAAAATTGTTAATCATTGGGCTATTGGATGTTGCCACGCCTTTTTTTGGCTAATTAATAAAACAGAATGATAAATGCTATCTAACGGTTGGTCCAAGCAAAACAGTTGTCTAGAGGCGTGCAAATTTAGGCCCTAGCTCAATAAAGCGGAGAGTAGGGGCGGGTTAAGAGCGCCAGTGACTTAGGACGGATTAAGCCACAACTCCCCGAGATGTTAGTCGGAACTTGTTTTGCTTGACCACCACACTAAAGGGAAATCTAACAGAGACGACGAAATTTAAGTAACAGTACAGAGAGAGAGAGAGAGAGCCAAATAAACAAGATATCAAATGGATCACAATATATTGATTAAAAAGAACAACACGCACATGTGCTCCACCTCTGGAGTGCAAGAAAGGATATAACCAAAAAAAAACTGTCGAAAAATAAAATTAGTTGGCGTTTACCATGGTATATGCTTTACATATGTATATACTAAGTGACATATAAATCCGAACACCCAGTTTAAATGGTTTTATTTTAATAAAAGTTGGTGAATGTATTTATCTTACTGTAAATAACAAGTGAAAAAATTTTCAGCCTTATCAGTTGGACATTCCGGTTTTTATACTGCTTTTTTTTTAATTCACTAACGCTCCAGAAATGAATATTTCAGCCGCAGTAAAGAATCAACGTTGGCGGATTTTGGTTCTTGACATCTTTTACGATCGGTTACCATGCCTAGAGTACGGAGACCTGTACGATTTCGTCAACTTAGTGAGTTTGATAGGGGCCGTATAGTGGGACTTCGGGAACCTGGACTTTCTTTTCGGGCAATTGCAGTTAGAGTGCAAAGAAGTGTAGACACTGTGATTAGGTGTTGTCAGGCATGGCTTCGAGAAGGCGGTACGCAAAGAGCAAGGGGCACTGGACGCCGCCGTAGAACAACAGACCGTGAAGATCGCCGCCTAAGATTATTGGCCTTAAGGGACCGTTTCTCCACTACCAGGTCCATTGCAAATGAATGGTTTGCAGAACACGGAAGACCTATTGGCATGCGAAGTGTTTACCGACGAATGAGAAGTTTTGGCTTGTTTTCATACCGGCCACACTGGGTCCTCCCTTTAACTCGAGAACACCGAAGTAATCGCCTTGAGTGGTGCAGACAACGGTCACTCTGGGATCAGGAATGGAACAGTATTGTCTTTAGTGACGAGTCTCGATTTTGTTTAGGCATGCACGATGGTCGTGCCAGGGTTAGAAGGCGACGTGGTGAAAGGAGGAATCCACAGTCTTTTGTTGAAAGACTGTTGGAGTTATGGTTTGGGGTGCTATAGCTTATGGTTCCAGGTCACCTTTAATCTTCATCAGAGGTAACATGAATGCGCAGCGTTATATCCACGAAGTTCTAGAACCCCATCTTTTACCCTATCTTGACACCCTGGCAGATCCAACTTTCCAACAAGATAATGCCCGGCCACATGTTGCAAGAGTCACAATAGACTTCTTTCAACATAATGATGTCACATTGTTACCATGGCCACCAAGATATCCCGACTTATCCCCAATTGAGCACGTGTGGGATATGATGGGTAGGACATTGCTCAATTTGCAACGTCCTCCTCAGACTCTAGAAGCACTTCGAGAGGAGTTGGTGGTTGCCTGGACTGAGATACCACAGGAGGACATTGACCACCTGATCAGAAGCATGCCTAGGCGCGTTGGAGAATGCGTAGCACATCAGGGTGCATCCACACAATATTAAAGGTCAAAGGGATTTAAAGCAGTGCAATTATTTTGAAATTTTTATCATTTACTTATTATGCTTCATTAAGTACTTATACAAAATTTTATTAAAATAAGACCATTTAGACTGGGTGTCCGGATTTATATGTCACTTAGTATATATTTTTCCCGCCTAAAGTACACTTATCTGGGCGGAGAACTTCTCTCAGTTACGGCTAGGCGCAGCCGAGGTGTATCCCAGTTCAAAAAGAACAAAAAAAAGTAAGCCAGTAGTAGGCACGTCACTGGGCTGCTTGCCTCGGTCCCAAAAATTATGATGGTAACAAGAAAAAAAACCTACAGAGAGAAAGACTGTTTAAAAATCTACTCTACTCTCTGTCTGAGACAAAACTACTCATTGAAAACAATCGCACTTGAAGCAAAACCATGTACATTTTTTCGTATAAGAAAAGTAAAGCATAGGAAAAAAAGATAAAAATGTACTAAACTAATATACCCTTGTTTTAAAAAGTTATGACAGCTCAAAAATCAAAATTATGATCAATGTAATAGAAGGTGCCATGTAGGTATTGACCCCATATTTGAATACGTAGAATGTCTAATAAAATCAAGAAGTCTCTAAGAATTTCAATAAGCAATAATAAATGTATAAAGATGTATGAAATTGTTAATTAGAATGATATTTTACCTGTTCACATCAGGGTTTTTTCAAGGGCATGGCTTCCAATTGGTAAAATTGCAACGATGCAACTAACTGGGGAGAAAAGACGAGGATTTTCTTCTGTTTCTATTGAAAAAAAGAAAGCAGATATTGAATGGACGTCATCAGGACACGCATTAAGGCACGCGGTCCGAAGGTATATAAAAAAAGAACTTACCGCTGAGGGTCAAAATCCCATAAAAAAATGGAAGACGTAGCACCCAAAATAACTAAACTTAAGTTACGCAACAAAAAGAAAAGGGTGCTAGTCCATGAATGGGTGCTTGGGGTCTAATATCCCAGAGTCTGGAAAACGACAAAAAGACCCCTTCAACACGACCTCAGCGGAAGCTGAAAAGCGAATCATAGAATACGTAACGTTCTAGAGCTAGAGGAAGGAATCTTGAGTGGCCTTGAAGAAGATATGTTTTATAGGAAGCCAACTAACGGAGAAAAACTGCAGTTTTTTGCTAATCGTCAACACCATACTGAATCGCTGAGAAAGAAATATATAATACGATTGAAATTACACAATCAATAAACTATTATATTTGCAAAAAGAAAATTATTGAAAAGGGGTTTGGCCTAGGAATGGGCACTGTATTATCAATGAGAAGAAATGCAAATTACTGATAAGTGATAAATAGAAAAAAAAAAGGTTACCTGATTTTGGCACGTGACAATGTTTTTCGGACATTACACATTAAAAGAGATAAATAGCGATCGACATTATCTATAGGAAGAGTAGATTTTTAATGAATTGATAGAAGCCAGGAATACTTAAAAAACGTGTTGGTTATACATGTCAGTTTGGAAATATTTCATTCAATATGAATTCAGCAGAAGATTATTAAAATACTTTCTGTTCTCGTGGTATGCCGCTCCTTGGTGTTGTAAATTCTTTTTCTACTCTGTTGATATTATTAGTTTTTTATTGTATCTAACGGATTTCTCGGACTCTAAAATCTCGATCCTCACTTGGAGAGATATGAGCTGCCTTCAGACGTCTTTGTGCAGGTGGTCATTTTGAGGTCGCTTTTTCAATTTTTCCTATATTTATTCAGTTTGGAGGAATGTATAAAAATTTAGAAGCAACAAGTCGGTACAATCAATCCTTTTTAGTAACTACTTGACTACAGTGCATAGTTTCGGACTGGCTATAAATATTAATAATTTCATCACGCACCTCATCATGTATTCAGAACAGACTAAAACAGACTTAAACCTGCAAAACGAGGAAATATCTAAGTGAAAACTCAGTAACTTGGTTGTATACTAAGCAAACCGTTGAAATGCAAATCACCCTACTTAATAAGTTAAAGAATAATAATTAATAGAAAAAATGATCTTACTCACTTGTTTTTGACCTTGGCTCCCTAGGTCCATCCACTGTCACCTTGATGGCTTTATTATACGTTGCTACTTGAGGTGGACTCGTTGATACCATTATTGTTAGAGTGAAACTTTTCCCTGAAATGAAAATTGAAATTACTTTAGAGCCGTATTCACTCTCAAGTGAATAGAGTACAGTACCAAAACACAGGAGTTATAACACAATCTTCCACTTTGGTACACAACTAGTTTTAAATATGGGCCAAGAATTTCAATATCGGTATACATGTGTCCCAAGTGTCATGGTCCAATCGGAAGGGGATGATAGGTAAGGGTCATTTGTTATCAGAAAATCTATGCATGTACGTCTTTATACGACTTTGCACGGTTTTTGAGTTATCGCCGTTTTAAGAATGTTATGTTATATTTTGCTATTTCTCAACCAGCTTTAGAGGATGTGTTCCCAAATGATTCCGGGTATTATAGTGTCTCAAAATACCCAAATATCCTTACTAGTTTCGACGAAATGCTGCAGGTACCCTCAATCTTGAAAATTTTAAGATATTATCTAACAATAGATCCTCAAATTTAAACAAACCCCACGTCTAATCGTTGGTTGGCGATCTTGACATTATTTTGGTGAAATAGCTGTGCCGTATTACTTAACCCGAAAACAGCCTTTTGTATAGGATAATGAAACATTTATAGTAAAATACACTAACGTCTGTTCTACAAAAGGGTTGTGTAATTACATTATTGCAATTTCGATCCAAGATGTCATTTCGTTACAATAACATACAGAAGTGAGCTTCGTTAGTGGGTTGTACAATGGAAATAATCGATGTTCTGCTAAAGAGTATCGAAGGCAACATACCAGTGGTATAAATTTTCCACAGTATAGTACAGAGAAAGGTCTAGGAGATTAGGAATAGTAAGAAGGCTGAGAAGCGACATAGATGCTAATGACAGTTAATTGAATATGGGCATTCTAGGAGGGTGCGCCGTATTGTATAGATCGTTGGCATAGGTCAATAATGAATCCGATTTCAGGTATACAACCGTTGTACACGTCCCATATTCGACGATTAGGGCGCTTCTTCCAGAAGACTATCCAGAGGCAGTTTTGGAGAAGGATGCTCCAACAATCCAGAAATGCAGTTTTTTAAAATATATTGTGGGTCGACGAAGACAGCTTTCGAAGAGCAAGCATTTATAACATTCACAAATAATAACACAGGGCTCTAGAAAACCATGAATTATGAGGCACGATTGCTGCCTACACCAATTTGCCACACTAATGAATAGTAATTTTTTGGTGCATTTCTATTAAGAGGCAGATTGTGTAGGGCGATTCATATTAATCTTGTCCGAAACAATCTACCAGCAGTGCTATTATGTAAAAAATCTAAAAAACCTAAATAACGACAAAATGTCATCTTGCAGACTAGGTAGTTTTTTGTGTGCAAATAGTTCATTTCACGTTTGCTCGCTATGATCTCTGTGAGTGTCATAAAAAGCGTCCATCTATGGAGGGATGAATCAACAAGTCTGTTCCCCAACATGCATAGTTGGTTGCAGAAAGCCGAGTAGCCTGTAGTGTTTATCTCTGAGAAGGTGTAAAAGAAACGCGCCTGCGTTATGTGTAATTACTGTTAGCATGTACTCGTATATGACTTGTGATTCGACATTGTTTAGTGAATATAACTTGCATATGTAATATTGAGAATGGATAACAAAAATTGGACGCGCAATTAAGTTCTAGCTTTGAATACATCTCAAGTAATTGTATTTGAGACAATAAACCAATAGAGTTATCATCAACACAGATTATTAGCACACAAATCTTCACTATGCACCTACACACTACCGTTTCCTTCCAGCTATACAACTTACCGCTTACATTGCAACAAATGTTGCTAGCTGAAGCATCATGATGTTTAGGAAATAGGTACAGCTACAAAACGAGTTCAAAACAAGTGTACAACATCTAGTGCTAAGTTGACATCTTGTGAAAAAACCTACGTAATGTCACAGAAAACCTATAATGTCAAAAAAAAAGAAATAATGTCACTTTTCAGGATACGTAACACTCGTGCAGAACTGTTAGATGGGATCTTAGACGATATGCATTCGGCAAGCTAACCGCAAATCAACGTGGTTCCATTGAGATTGGGTTTCTGAACACTAGCACGCGAGGTTAATGATTTTTTAAATCTTTTCTTTTACACCAAAGCACCCTCGCAGGCAAAAGCTTGAATGCCAGGACGCCGCGGCTGCTACAGTGATCCCAAATAAATGTTACTTACCGATTTTTGAACTGCCTAAGTTTAGTAGAACTGGGAAATTCCTCCTCTTATACACAGTTAGGATGGGAGGCAGAAGTCAGGCGGGTCTATCTGGCAGGCACATCGCGCGGCGGCATCATGGAAGAGAGCTCTGAGGAGCAAAGCCCGTTGGTGTAACGTAGAAGCGAGCCGTGTGAAAGACCCCCGAGAAGAGTTATCGATAAGTCGAACAGCCCTCCTCTGGGCAGCATAGAACATAAATAATGTAGTCGAGGCTAGGTCTTATGTGGGCCTTGTAAAGAGTGAGCATGTCATACTTAGCCTTAAGCAAATAGCCTAGCTTTTTCCCAGCCCCTGCCGCTATTGTAGAGATGTGTTCGTGCCAGATCAAGACCTCGGTGATCTGAATTCCAACCAGCTCTTTGGCACAACTCGGCCATCCATCGAAACCGGATGAGCACGAAGACGAGGCTGACAATGAAAGTTATCAAAATGTCACAAAAACATTAGGGATATTTGATTATCTAAAAGATATTTTGAAAGGTAATAATACCGAGAGGCTTTATATGGCTGTGTATGCTTTATCTGCCACTATTATTTTTGTGCAGGCCGTGTTGTATATGCTGTAGTATTTTTAACCGATTCCCACGATATATTATTTGGAAATGTACCCTGTGTAAACATTTTCAGAATGAAGGTCACAGTCTCAAAGTAGCCATTTATCACATTTGCTTTCAAAATGGCGATAACTCAAGAACCGTGCAAACTAGGATAAGGATATATACGAGTATAGTTCTTCTGACTGGAGATGACCGTTCTCCTCCTATCACGTCCTTTCGTTTGATCTATGACTTTTGGGCTCCCCGTATAAAATAAAAAACACAAGTGAGAAACAGCTACATTCCATGTTCAATTCAATATAAGCCAATTTTTTTAGCCGACTTATTTCACCTAAAGGTCACGAGTCTGTTCGAATTGAAGTACGGTACGATTGCTTAAAAGGTAATAGAAAAAACAAATTAACAGTACTCTTATACCAACACTGCTAGTTAGTCTCTAATCTAACGACAAAGGACTATGAACAAAAAAGAAAGATTCCAGAATATGCCGAAACTTCGCGCTCTTATACGTTTTGCAACTCGAAGGTTCCGTCATAAGAATTTGTAAATAGTTAACAATTTTCAAATCAGGCATATATTTTACTTATTGCCTGAGACGCCTGTATGAAGGGGACGTGTAGAAATCAACTACTGCCGTTGAGCAAAACGTCGCAGGAGTTGTCGGCATATTCATACTCGTACAGTGGAATACCCCAGTGTTCCCCAGGGCCTCAGTGTCTTTAAATGAAATAATAGGTGGTAAAAAAGTAAAGAGCCTATGTCGCCTTTAATATCACGATAAACGATTTGCGGAATGAGTTCGCGTGCTGGCTTATTATCCCAGGCAGGGCAGACAGACAAAATATTATCGGGAAATGAGAACCGCACGAGGATAAACGGACACGCCATCGGTAGTGTTTGTGCCAGGCGCCAGTTAAACGCATTGGTGGAGTAGGCCAGTATGTGAAATGAACTTTTAAATGCAGACACACATTCAGGTTAGGAAATATTAAACATTACTGTATCCATAAGAAAACCAAAAAAGTTATGACCATGCTAACATGGATACTTAAATAATTACCAGCTGGCCAACTATCTATTTGTACTTATATCCCAAAGGGTCTCTTTGGTCATCATCATAAACTGTAAAATTGATAACGCTCAGAGAATTGTCAAGAATAGTGAAATGGGTGATATACGTGAAAATGGACTTGCCCCAGGAGTTCTGTCCATCAATTCGTGAATATTTTTCAAAATAAAAAATAAAAAAATGCCATCAAGTAGGTTGACTCTGTAGTTCCCACACTACGGTGTCATCAGTTCGTAAAGGATTATGTTTGGCACAAGATATCCCTACTGAGAAAAATGTAGCCAACATGTATAACAAAAAATCAAATGTCCTTCCTCTTCTCTCTTGCGGCATACGCACATGATCGTTGTCACGAACAATCCCGTGTGAATTACGATATTGGCCTTCGTCATGCACAGTGCACACATGCAGCGTTAACAATTGCTGACTGAGACATATGACCACCGATGGCGACGCTAGTCCATCAAAGATCGTGTATCGACCATTGAAGAGGGGAAGATAGGTTTTAAGGGTGAATGCACGGGGACATCTATGCTGATTTTTTTCGAAAATGAACAGAATCGTCTGAAACGTTAAAAAATGAAGCTTGTCTTGCCCTTTTTCGCCGCCACCACTGGACCGATTCCGATTTAAACTACAGAACTTTTGCTTCCTTGCCATAGTGACAACATTGTGTACAAATTTTGTCGACATCCATGCGGTAGTTCTCAAGTTATAGGCGTTTATAAGATTAGCGGACAGACCGACAGACAGACAGACCGACGGAAATGAGTGACATGATTTTTCGTAATGTACGTGTCTAATAACATCCAAGAAACAATATATCATTTCCGAAAATTTACGTCAATTGATGCTTCTTGTGATAGTATGGGACCAGAAGAAGCATCAGAAAAATTATGGTCCAGTGGAGTCAGACCTAAGCTTCAATTATTATATATGAGATATGGATGATGTGTAGGATTCATGTTATATTAAGAAAATAAGTGACAGCTGGTCAATGACGGCAAAATGTCTGGTAATGACAGATAACAGGTGTGATTGAATTGTTTCGTCTTTTCTTACATTTTTCATCTATTACACTTGGAAGAAGGAAAAAACATGAACATCGTACGTTCCCTACTATTTGAAGTGTTTGCCATTCTTAGTTTATTGATTTATTTATTT